ATTTGGTTCACTATCAGGTTTTTTTTCTTTTTAAATAAATGGAACCTGTATAAACATCATGGGTACATTAGAATCCCCTTTTACAGCTACCTAAAAAACATGCATGTAAATACGTAGGGGGTTGGACTTGTTAATGAATGCATTTTTAAGCCTAGCCTGTTTTTGCAAGTTCATGGGTTGGCTTAACCACCTGCCTATTTACATATAATAACTTTACAAAAAGTGATAACAAATCAAATATATGATCATATTGGCATCTAATAATAAAAAACCTTTCTTATAGCCCATGCAAAAACACTTACGCAAGCCTCTTATTATTGCCTAGAACTCAGCTGCTAATGATGATCATGCCATGTAAGGTTGTCCTTTTGCAAGGAGAAGAAAAGATCCATGTGAGAACATTAAGAGCCTAGTAGTGCACTGTGTGTGATAGTGTTCCATGATCCATCCACTAAGATAATCGGGAGTGCTGTGTGTAGAACCTCTTGTAGATCCCATTCTGTATTCAGTTGAGAAAGTGATGAGCTTTGTGGCTCAATGGCTTTAGAAATGTAGTAATTACCAGCTTTCCGCAGGATCATTAGAGGGTATGGTTTCCCATTATTAAAAATATTATCATTTCTCACGTCCCATATGCATCTGAAAATTGCAATAATTTTTGTAAGGTAAGCGTACTTTAGGGCTTTGTCCTTGATATGACTATTGTAATGTCACCACCATTCCAACTACTCTTTTTGACATGAGTTTAGAAAAACCTCCGACATGAGCCCAACTTGGGCTTGCATCCAGAAAACCCTAGCTAGAGGGCATTCCAGGAAGAGGTGGTTTTGGGTTTCTGGGGACGACCTACAAAATGTGCACCAAGTACCTTCTCTGCTTCTGCAAATCCAAACAGATGCCTTTGTTTGAATTACCTTATGTAGGAATTTCCACACAAAAATCTGACACCTATATGAGCATGAAGTTGCCCAAATTCTAGACCATCTTGCTATATTTGTTTGAATCAGAGTTGTGGTTGTAATGAGGGAATGATAAGCTGAATTCATTGAGAATTCCCCATTCTTGGAGTTTTTCCAAAGAAGATTGTCAAATTGTTGTGAAGGTCTTAGAGGGATATTGAGAATAGCTTCTACACTTCTATCATCAAACAACTGGTAGAGGTAATCAGCATCCCAGGTAAGATTCTTTGTTATTAAGTCACAAACCTTCATTTGAGAGGATTCAGTGTTTCTGGCTCTTCTTTTTGGGGTATTATTTTCTAACTAGGGAACCCAAGGGTCCAGAAAGGCTGAAATTGTTTTCCCATCTCCAAGTTTCCAGAATAAGTGAGATTTCGTCTCATTTTTTTATTTGATAATACTTTTCCACCACCCTAAATTTGAAACTTTTACTTTCAGGTCGAGAAAGCATTTGCCTTTTACATACTTTGCTTCTAATTGTTGAGCCCAAAGGTTGTCCCTGTGATTTAGTAGTCTCCAAACCGACTTCAAAAGAAGAGCTTTGTTCATGAAGGAGAATTTCCTTATCCCTAGACCACCAAGGGCTTTGGGTGAACAAATAATGCTCCATTTTAGGTTGTAGTTTACAACATTGCTTGATCTACCAGACCACCAGAAGTTCTTTTGCAATCTATCCATTTTCTTGCATAGACCAAAGGAAGAGCATGTCTGCATGGTGTAAAGGGGATACTTTGGGTAAATGCTTTGATGAGAGTGGTACGACCAGCTTGGGAGAGAGTTTTGGCTTGCTAGAGTTATATCCTGTGAGAGATGCTTTCAGCAAGATGCTTATGAGTGTTCATTTTCCCCCCTTCTCTATCTACTATTCAAGTCCCTAGATATTTGGTACTGTATTTTTTTATTTTCATTCCTATGGTTCTACTCAGCATCTTTTGATGTATTATGTACATGTTTTTGCTAAATATGACTCCTGATTTTGCAAAATTTATATGTTGCCCTAAGATTTGTTCAAATAGCTGGAGGGTGGTTTTGGTGTGGAGGAAAGTTTTTGAATCTGCTTTACAAAAGATGAAGCAGTCGTCTACAAATAATAGATGAGTGATTGGGTCCGCATCCCTTACAAGCTTGATTCCTTAGAGTTTTGTCAAGCTTTTTTTCTCTATGCAACAAAGTTGAGAGAGTTTGCATTCCAATAATGAAGAGGTAGGGTGAAAAGGGATCACCTTGCCTCAGGCCTCTTTTAGTAGTAAATAAGTCAAAAGATGACCCATTGAGTTTTACTTTGACTAGTAGGTTTATGGACGTGATAGTACCTGGGCAACTTGCCTAACAATTACCATCTTTGGAAAGTCCTTTGGGATGGTTTTCTCACAAAACAAAAGTGTTCGTCCTGGTTAAATGAATAGGACCGACTTTGCGTTTTTTGCGAGGTTCAAGAAGAAACACTTCATCACCTTCTCTTTTAGTGCCCATTCCCACGAGTCGTTTGGTTCGGTGCCCATATTGGCATAAACCCCTCTACCATTAGTAAGGACCCGATTCACACCATCATCATTAATTGGTTTACTAGGATGCATTCAATATTAGGTAAGCAACGAGCATTAACAAACCTAAGCAAATTTGCTTTGATCATCTATCATATATGGGATGCAAGGAACAAGAAAATTTTCAAAAATATTGATCCAAATCCCATCAAGTGGCCAACTTAGCAATAACCCTCCAATTGGAGCATCCGGCAAATGAGGGCAGACCATCACTCCATCAACTACCATCTTCTAGTCATTCGACGTGTTTATTTACTAATGGCTCTTATGATCCATCTTCAGGTGTTGCAGGATGAGGCTTCATCATCCAACATGACACAAAAGGTTACACCATCGCAGAAGGAGGACCTTCATGGGCACTCTTAAGCTATGACGCTAAAATTCGAGCCATGCTAAGTAGAGTACAAATGGCTCTCTCTCATGGCATTACTTGTCTTTTGGTATATACAGACAATGCAGCTTTAGTTGATTTTGCTAGAACTGATCGAGTTGCTCATTAGATTGAACAGTTATAAAGTCATTTGAGACGACTCATTAACTCCTTTAATTATATATATTTCTTACATATAGTAAGGCAACAGAACCAGGCAGCACATACTTTAGCTTACTTATCTTGTAAAGGACTAATCCGAGTTTGTTACAACTTGAGACAATCCCCTCATGTATCTTTCACTATATAAATATATATTTCATTCCCCTTTTGACAAAAAAAAAACAATTAACAAAGCAAAGGCTCCAATAAATAATAATTTTACTTGCGACAAAATCCAAAAAAGTTGAGACTCCATCCAGCTATGTTACATGTTCAAGTAGCCTTAGCTGGCACTCACTCCAATGCAGTAGTAGGTTTCGCATCAGAGAGAATCCAAATACACCACACTCTTGTTATGTGTTTACTTGCTATACCCTAAACAAGACTTATAAATTAAAACTACCCACACGACACTATGTATAAAAGCGTGGATGCAAAGTAAAAGTTTTTATTACAACTTTAATGCTAGCTTTAATGGCTACTAAAATACCCATATTGTATATAGTCTATCTTTAGTATGTGTTTAGTTCCGATTATATTTTTTCATTCAACGTTTGTACTTTATTTACTTGCAAAACTGAGAAAGGTAATAATTACAATTGTTTATGACAAATAGGCACCACATCAGCATAATTGTGAAAAAATGCCTAACCATTGGGGGAAGCTTTAAAAAATAACTTCCCCAAATGGTAAGCATGCACAGAAATTGAATTCACATTTTTCTATTCTCAATGCATACGGAAGAGCATAAGAGGGGAACTATTGAAGTGGTGCCTATGTGGCAGCATTTATTGAATAAACACCCACGGTTTCAAACACCCTCTTAATTGTAAAGGTTGAAAATGTAACTTAAATTATTACTTTTTATACATAAGGTATTAATTCCCATTTTCTCTTATTATATCCTATATTTAAGTTATTTTTTATTAATAAATGCTACTAATTAAATCTATGTCAATATTTTTATACAATATAAACCCATATATTTTAATACTAACTCAAAAATGAAAACCATTCTTTATCTAAGTGGTGGCTACGCAATCCAACCATCTAAATCAAATTGACCAACATATGAAGTCATAGTTAAGTAATAAAATTTTTTAAATTGAAATAAATATAAATAATTACAAAAATATAGAAAAAATATGTATAATAAACAAGAATTATTTTTATTGATAATGAAAATGAAATACATAATTTAAAACTAACCAAAAATGAAATTACTTTACTATTTTTCAAAGATCAATAGTTCAACTTTTGGGTCAAATGTGTTAACAATTAATGTCATAAATTAATAATAAAAATTAACAAAACATAAAAAAACATAAATTTTGCAAAAAAAAAACATTCAAGCACATGTATAATGTCACATAATTATATAATTATCATATTAAACAAAAAAATTGAATAAGATTATGAAACTTTCTTTTGACTAAAATGCTCATTTTTGAATTTAATCCCTATTTAATTGTGAGGTTTAAATTGTTAATTGAACTACTATTTTTCACCTCATTCAATCCCCTCTATTTAAATCTTACATTTTTTTTTTGATAAATGAACAAAAAAATACACCAAAAAGATAAAACATTACAAAAAGAAGAATTTAGCCAATCAAGTAGGCCTATCAATGATACTTGAAACTTTACAACCTAATCCGATTATCGCATATTTGGATGAGGTGTTTATATAATCATATTTGAACTTTGCAATATTCATCTAATTAATAATAAAAAATACATAAAATAAAAATACATAAAATTTATAAAAATTTTTTAATACATTATTGCTATCGTTATCATTATCTAAAATTATTAGGTGCAAAGTATGTACACGTTTAATAATAATGTGAAAAGTAGGAATACTAGTCGACACATTCCTTCCGTTGCCCAATTAAATGCTGAAATGTTTTAAAGTTAATATATTAACTCATTAATATAATTGTATCACACGTCACGTTCAAAGAATGTCGACATGTCCGAGTGGTTAAGGAGACAGACTCGAAATCTGTTGGGCTCTGCCTGCGCAGGTTTCGAATCCTGCTGTCGACGTCCTATTATTAGGACAATCGCTGAATTATGAAATATATAGTCTAATTGAGAACTTAGCGTCGTTCGTGGCCCATTGGCTCAGTTGGTTAAAGACATTTTAAAACGTGTTTCATATATTATTCCTTATCTATATTGATCGTTTCTTTTCTTCTATTCCTCTATTTTCTGTTAGAGATATTTTAAAACGTGTTTCATATGGTTAATTGGTTCAGTTGGTTAAAGCGTCGTGTTGATAAACGTCGCTGGTTCATAGACCTGCACGGGCGCTAATTAAGGTCATTCTCTTTTCGATTGATTTTCATCTTCTGTTCCTCTATTTAAAAATAGTTGTTTGTTAAATATATTTTTTAAATAGATTTCGGGTAGCCTATTAGATCAGTTGGTTAGAGCGTCGTGCTAATAACGCGAAGGTCGCAGGTTCGAGACCTTTATTGGCCATAAAAACAGCATATCTGCTTTCAATTTTGGAACAATAAACATACTACAGTTTTTGTTTTTCATCTATTTTTATAATTGCCACATCAGAAAACAAATTGAAACACGTCCTTGAACCATGTTTTGCCTCGAAAAAACAATCTATGTTTTCTAAACTATCAAAATAGTGGTTTCTAGAAAACAAATTCTCTAATTAAGATATTGTGTGATCCATGACACGATATCAATCACAAGATAGTTTTTGCCTTTTTTGAACCATCACAATAAGAAATTCAAAAGCACATTTTTAGTTTCGGTTTTGAAAAGAAAATTAACAAATTTTACATTTTTTCTCAAAAAGAATTTATTTTTCAAATCAGATGGTTTTGATTTGTTGTTAGAACTTACAACAAGAATAGATAATGTTTTACATTTGTGTTTTTTGAAACCAGGGGCAGAGATTTTTTTTTCCTTTAAAAGTTACAGTTAACGAGGAATTGAAACACGGTGCCTCATGCGGTGTCCTGTGCTTAGGAATGTAGGAAGAATTTGTAGATAAGCTTAATGTGACCGTTAGAATATTTTAAAAATGAAATAACATCTATAGCATTTGTATTGAATATGGGTGGATTGAAAAACTGATATAGATCACGGACCGATACTTGCAATATTTTGAACCTTGGGAGGAAGAACACCCGCTTTAGTAGCGTGATAATCAACAAAACAAAACAAAACTGGAAAAGCAGTCGGCTTTAGTGACAAATAAATGGAGAACGCTAGCAGGCAACATAAAACTACTTAGTACTATTAGACATCACATGTTGGCTTCCAGTATAGAAATAGAAATGCATTGCTCCTACATCGTCTACAAGTATTCCTTCGAATAAACAAACAATAAACTAGTGAACTTCATTATACCACATAAGTGAATGTTACCACAACTTAAAAAAAAGGCCTATTTAGGATGGTCTTCCAGAGTTCAAGTTCTCAGCTTCTACGACGGCCTGCAAATACAAAACAGCCAAAGATTGAAACATTCAACAAGGAGCATGGCCTATAGTTTTGGCAACCACCAAACACCAAATATGATGCGAACCTGGAGAATCATAATTGCAGCATTTTTGTCTAGAACTTCGTTGTATTCATGACAAGATAGGCTCTGCAGCATAAAAAGATTGAGAAACAAAGATGACTTGAAGGAAAGATCATTAAGTTAAAATCATTTAAGACTGACTTGAACACAATTGGGACAACCGGCAGCTCCTAAGCACTGGCATGTTGTGAGAAGCTCTAAAGCAGCAGTTAGTAGTTCTCCAAATAGCGGTTGCAACTATTACACAATTATAAAGCTGTTAGGATGCAAGAAGTGCCCAAGGTATAAATAAATTTCATTTTCTTATTCCTACAGAAATTCAAAAATAAGAAACACAACACCAGTATTATAGCAATCACTAAATGAACAAGGATCTTTTTTCTTGACACTTGGCATTATCTCTACTGTCCATATATTGAGATAGTGCACACACAATTATATTTACATATGTTGCATTTTAGATGATAGGTGCCTTGCCTTAAATTCTATAATAGCTTTAGTTATCTGTTATTTCAGTGCAGATGTGGGGTTGCCTTAAATTCTAGTCTTGGTTATACTACTACACCTTATATCAACATTAACAAAAACTTCCATAACTAAATCACAATTAAACCAAGCCTACCATAGTAATTGACCTACATACTAATATCTAATTGGCACTCCCAACGAATAGATAGGCCCAATTAATCAGCGCGATCAAAGCAAATATATTGGCATAGATAGGACCTCAGTATTTGATGCCAATGACAATTTTAGCAGTTCTTGCTCCACAATTATGGCAACATGTAGTTGCACTCGCATGATTACTCATTCTACCAATTGCAGAAACAAGAAACATACTAGGTTTTGTAACCTGTTTACCCCATGGAAGTTTCCACACAGCCATGAAACCCCATTTAATTGCCTATTAGAGGAATCTGTTATGAGCAAGCATCCCGAAACAGATTAGGAGTTAGACCTAGGAACTCCTTCACTCCTTTCCCCATAAAAGAGTGGCTACTGTGAGCAAGAACCACTAAGAAATGAGTGAATCAGAACAGGAAATGACCAACAACTGGAAATTTCGTAAGGTTGATGTCAAAAACCAAAGCTCTAGAAGATCTTGGAAACTTTATTCAGAGAATGCACAGTCAAATTCAGGGAATCAAAGATCAACCCAAAAGAATGTATAAAAGAAATTTGAAGCCCACCTATATATGCAGTGCTCCATTTATCATGTGATTGATGTCACCTCAGGAAAAATCAAGTCAATGCATGTTATAAGGGGTATGATATTTACCCTAGTACCTTCAATGATTGAATATCCAAAAGAATATCTAACTTTCAATGGTAGAATGGAACAGAAGTGTGTAAATGATTATGGCAAGCTGATTTTTTTTAACAGAGAATTACACCAGACTAAAAGTAAAAATAACAAAAATGTACTCTAAAGTTCAAACTGCACTTTGCTCCTAGCCCTGTCCTACCATATTCCCCAAATCCCAACCAAGGGCAGTTAAAGATCTCCATAATTTTTTTTCTTTTTGTTGTAAATATCCTTTGGATGACTAACCTCTATCAAGTCAAACAATTCAGTACAATCTATTCAGTATGAACCAAAATGTATACATAGTGGCCTATACGCAGTCAAGGCACACCCCGAAAAAATAAGAAGAGGACAACTGCTCTTGTTCTTCAGCCCCAGAACAACACAGAGAACATGCAAGTTGAAATCCCCTCCCCAAAAAAAAAAATTGGAAAAAAGATTATTCAGATGGCCAACTTTAGTCAGAAAATAGATTTTGAACCACATTAACAAATAAAAAATAGGAACTGAAGTTGTGAAATAAAACAGTTCCCTAATGAATTTGCTTTTTTAAATCCTAAATCTCTGCTTCTATTTGCATGGAGTTCATGTATACAGTATACCGCTTGTAGTCTCAAAATGAAATGAAAAGGGACAAAAAAATGATACCCAGGAAGGACAACTTTAGATTTTGACTGAACATTAATGTTACAACTAAAGCAATCACAACTCTGTGACACTAACCTTCAGTGAAATACCTATGCCTCCAGGGTGCTCATCATATAGCAGAATTCTTTCTGGAAAATAGCGTGTTTCATGGGGATTTGCACACTCCGAAGCCAAGTCTGAAGAATTGCACATTATATACCTATATGCCAAAATAGATCAGATTCATAACTAGCCAAAGCCAAAGTAAAAAGAACATTACCCAAAGTTGTCCAGCTATTTGGGATCTTGCGAGGGGTGGACTGGATGCAGTCCAAACCTTTCGCAAAGCCATATACTTGAAACAAGACAATATATGTCTGGAAGTGGAAAAAAGCCCACACACACACACAAAGAATTCCTACAGAAACCGGTTAGATCAACTTCAAAGCTTATCCCACTTCAAACACCAGCATCTATAATCCAACCACAGAGTAAGCATTCTTTAAATTGTAAAGCTGACCTGCAGGTGAATAAACTTACAGAGGCACAACATTAAGGATAGCATGAGAAGCAGCATGGAGGCCAGCACGAAATGAGAAATTCTGAATCTCCACTTCTGTTTTTATTGATTGAGGAACTCGAATCCAAACTGCCTGTTTAAATATAAGAAAAGCAGAATTAGAAAAGAAAAAGGCATGCTTAAAAAAATGCCACAATATGGATATCTCAAGATGTAATTCAATCATCATAATTGCCAATCAAGAGATGACCTTGACCTGTGACTCGTATGAAAATTTAGGAAGTGAAAGTTCAACTGCATCAAATATTTGGTTGCTTGCTCGCCAAATACGGTAAAAGCCAAACCAAGTAGTAGTTACTTTGCAAGTCCGTGCTTGAGCAATTGTTCTTGGATGCTGAGTGTCAAAGATCCCCACTGGGTAAGCCTATGAAACAGTATAAATTGAATCTGCTAAGCATTTCTCATTTCTCTATCAGCATAAAAGCATTGTATCAAATTACATGTCAGAGGACCCTATATGCCATTGTACCGTGCACATGGGTTAAAGATGCTCTTATTTCAATGTCATATGATATGATCCCTCTTTTCACAAAGATAGAAAGCTAAAAGGATGAAAAATTACAACATATGGAATGTGTGGCTATAGAAACTAGAAAGAGGATAATTTTCTAGGAAAATCTCTAACATCCTTGGTATTATTGACAAACTTGTGGTGATGACATTTTACTGGGTTATAATGATAGAACAATATATTAAAAAATAATCTATGCTGATATTTTAAGTGAATGGATGAAAATGGTGCTATATCTCCCAGTACTAAGCCCACCTTATGTAGTGGAAACTGGGAACCTCGTAAAGTAAAGTAAAATGAAGCATGTTTAATAACTAATGATGATTGTAGTTCCCCAAGAATTGAGAGCTTTTTAATTATCAAAAAAAGAATTGAGAGCTTTTTCACAGTATAAATAGAGAGTAGTTTATTTTCCCCCCCAGTCTTAACAAAGACAGATTGGAAAAAAAGGAAAACAAAAAAAGTTTTAAATCTTTTCCATCTGAGAGATTTTGGTTCAATTGACTCAGGCATCTGACTTATTTAAAAAAAAAGGATGACGCAGGCATCTATTGGAGAGATTTTGGCTCTTCTTCAGGGATTCAAATAAATATACCCCAATGTTTTAAAACGTGGAGGCGTGACGTGAGGTGTTCCACTACCTGGAAGCGTGAGGCGTAAGCCTCCTTAAGAGGAGGAGGATGAAGAAGAAGAGGAAGGAGGATCTCATTTTTCTTTATTTTTAATAAAAAACTTTTATATTAAGAAGAATGAGGATGCATAGCACTAGTTGAAGGGGGGGGGTAACACAGGCTTCGCCCCCCAGCCCACTTTCCTTCCCCTTATCTTCTCTTCCCTTCCCTTCCCTTTTCTTCTCTTTCTTTTTTCCCTTCCCTTTCTTTTCCTTTCCTTTCCTTTTTTTCTTTTTTTTTTGGTCTTTTTATATGAAATGTGCATGAGGCACATGAGGCATACGCCTCTAGCATGCCTCATGAAAAAGGCATATGAGGTGTACACCTCTTGCACCTGAGGCGTATGCCTCAGAGGTATCAGCGCCTCTGGCATACGCCTTAGAGCGTTTTAGGGGCACCTTGCCTGGAGGCACGCCTTTTAAAACACTGATATGCCCTATAGGTTTTGGATGCACTGAGGTGGTGAACACTCTCACATTAGCTTCTAACAATTATAAACAGTTTTCTTCTTCAATCAAGACTTTGCTTCAAGAGAATCTAACAACAGTCTATGGGAAAAGACTAAACTACTAACTTCATTTAGGTAACACTTTCCAGTTTTGCATCCAACTAAAAGGTGATAGTCAGTAGCCACACTACCTTCATTTGTCTTATGTAGTTTGATTGATTTTTCAACTGCCATATTAGTTATTGCTACTTTTATCAATTACAATTTAACAAGCCTTTCTGAAAATGATAACCTTTAGTTTGAAACTTCTCCATAACTATCATCCTAAAAAATAGATTTGTACAGGGTTTTCACTAAGAACTAGCAATGAGCATCACATTAAACTGATCACTACAGAAAAAGGTAGAAGTTTGTAACTTCAAATATAAACAAATTGTACAACCAACAGCACAAACCTTTGAAATAAATATATGATAAGAAAGCTCATTAAAAGAAATCTAGAAAGTGGTTATAATGAAACATGTAGAAAATGTCTTTAACAAAAATAAGCATGCTAGTCATAAAGATACAGGCATACAGCGTGAGAATAGGACAAATAAAGGGTGAAGAAACAGACATACAATATCCCCACCGATGAAATGAATATCTGTATAATCGCGTGTCTTGGTGTAATACTTCAAGTCCGCTTCATGACACAAAGCAATCTTTGCTGATAAATCTAAGACCTTCACTAGATAGGTTTGCCCTTGATGCATATAAACAGCACCTTCATAAACCTGGATGACCAAATAATCTGTCAATTTGCCAAAGTCAATAAATATCACATATGAGATAATTACAATAAAGGATTAAAATGTCAGTACAACAACAACAACAATAATAACAATAAAGGATTAAAATGTTAGTAAATTGATGAAAACAGGTGAAAATCTTCAGAGCTCAAGAATGGATGAAAAACAGCAAAATGGCATTTATAAAGTCAACCAGTGAATGAGAAAAAAAATACTATAGGAACCATGTAATATCAACTAATCATGCATAGGTCTGACCACCAATGCACCCAAATAACAACTGAAGCCAGATCAGGAACTTGGAAAACCAATAACAAGCATAATACCTGATAGAAGGCCTTGCTTTCCTCAATCTCTTCAAGAATTTCATTCCTTTTACTGTCTATTACTTTGTATCTCTCAGTCTCTATTGCTCGAATACTAATTGCATGAGAAGGTTTTTTCTGATGAAACAAGAGAAACAGAAAGGAACAGAAAAGGAAATACATAACTTGTAATAAGCACAAAATTAGTAATTTCACATAAACAAGATAAAATACCTCCTGTCCAATGTAGCTCCATATTTTGGCAGGAAGATCACGAGATAGATCACAACTAAGAAATCCTTTCTCTGTAAGGGCCATGATTGCACCATGTAGACCAGAACCAAAATATTTTTCATCATAAAGCAAGCTCAATGGGTGTTCAAGAGCAGCGCAGAGAAGATGTTGCTCAAGCACCTACAAGAATAAGGAGTTGGTATATACATACAAGAACTACCCACTTATTTGAAACCCACCATGGATGTGACAGTTTAGCAAATAAATAACTGTGAAAAGTTTTTTATTTAAAACTAACAAAAAGATGCTAAGTGCTAGGAATTAAGCCAACTAACAAACTTGTTGGTTATGAGCATCAACATGACAACTCTCAATCGGACTACCAAAGAGCCTTTGTGGAAATTTCATGAAATATTGGTCAAGAGGTCCTTCAAATGCCACATATACTGCAAGTGATTCTTTTCCTCTTCTCCCAGATCTCCCAGCCTGTTGCCACAAGCTTAACATAGAAAAGACATAGCTCCCAGTAAATTAAAAATGGAGAAAAAGGAAAAAAGAACTTCAAGCCTAGTTTTTACTACTTACAAATAAATCAAACAGAAAATTCCAATCTCCTTACCTGGCAACACTACCAGGAAAACCCAGATGAAGAGTTACATCAATGTGTCCAACATCAATACCCAATTCAAGAGCATTTGTTGCAGCAACTCCACAAAGTTTCCCATTGAAAAACTCACTCTCTATTCTCCGCCTATCCTGCTTCATCATTCAGAATATCAAAGATTAACTATATACCAGTAATTATTTTACCAGATTAGTGGTAAATTTTTTAATTGATAATCAGTGATAAAGTTTTGGAATAGCATAAAATGAGCTTCAGATTTCAGGATATGGATAACATCTGATTAAACACATATTACAAGCACAAAACTGTCCTTTAAATAACATAGATAAATATAAAATAGTTAAAAAGTAGGCATATCTGTGTTGTTAGGCTTCTTTTCTTTTCCAAAGAGTGCAACTTGGGTTGTGCCCCCATTTCAGACCTTAGTTTTTTATTTTTTATTTTTATTTTGTTTTTTGGGGGGGGGGTGTAAGAATTTCAGGCCTTAGAATAGGTTCACGTAAAAAGTAGGCATATATGTGTTGATGAACTACACCATGTTCTAAGAGATACGTGGTTAGGTCCTTCTCAAAGTACTCTCTGGCATTATCTGATTTAAAAATCTTAGTTCCCACTCCAAATTGTGTGAGAACCATCTGGTGGAATTGTCGTACTAAGTTAGGAACCTCATCACGTGATCTCATCAAAAATATCCAAGAATATCGTGTATAAACAAGAGAAAGTAACGAAATCCTCCCATGAAAGGGATTTGATATGGCCCCCATACATCAGTGTGAACAATATTAAAAGCACAAGTACTTCTTTTATTACTTGGTTTAAAAGACTGTCTACAATGCTTTCCTAACTGACAACTCTCACACTCCAAAGTAGATAATTGAACAGACTCAAACAACTTTGGGAAAAGACATTTCAAAGAATTAAAAGAAAGATGTCCCAAGCGATTGTGCCAAAGCATAATCTGGTTTACTAACTCTGACCCACTACTACTACTGTTGCTAACATGATGGCCCTGATATCTCGGAATCTCATCCAAAAGGTAAACTCCATTCACCTCACGACCACTCCCAATCATCTTCTTTGGCTCCAGATCCTGCAAAACACAATTACCAGGAAGAAAGATCACAGAACAATTCAAATTTTTTGTTAAAGAACTAACAGAAAGTAGGTTGGTATGAAGTCTAGGGACATGTAAAACAAATGACAAAGTTATATCATTGGTCACTCTAACTGTCCCCTTCCCAGCAATGGGCATATGTGAACCATCTGCTGTAGAGACTTGGTCTCTACCAGAGCACAACTGATAGGAATTGAAAATGGAAGGGGCATTAGTCATATGCTCAGATGCTCCTGAGTCTATAATCCAGGGAGGTCCCTCCTTACCTGAAGTGGATGCAAGATTCACAGTTGCATATG